CAGCGGTCGAGGGCAGAGAAGAAGCTCTGGGAACCGGTACCGAGTATTGAATGCGATGTGCGTTGACGCGAGAAGAGATTATGAAATGGAACGAACAACATGACGTTATTTTGGATTGGGATAGCACATGCAGCGTCGCCTAAAGCGCCACGGACCTCGGTCGACATTGGAAAAGAACGTGAACGAAACGGTGAAGCTGGAGCGGGGCCTAACGAGGCTAAATCTCCATCACAGCCTGAGCCAACACGCCCAGACTTGACCCGGCGGCGGAAGAAGCTTCACCCGACTCCTTCGTCTCCTCATCGGGGCTTGGAGAGCGAGAACGACGAGCGTTTGCGAACTCGGCCACCCATGGAGGGACCACAATCGAAGTCCGCAGAGAAGATTCGACCACGATCGACGACGCCACGGTTTCCCGAGTCGATCCGTTGGGGACAAACAACGGGACGTCGTTGCAAGGGGCGAAAGCCGTGTTGTAGGGGTGGTCTGCCGGCGCTTGGAACCAACAGTTACGCCACGGCTCGCGGGCATCCACGTCCGCCACCTCGGAGGCCCAGTCGTCGGTAGTAGGGACCCACTCCATCACCTCGAACGAGTATTGCAGGTACGACGGCTCCAGCAAAACCTCGGTGCGGTGTTGTGGAGGTTGTCCGTCGTACGTAATGGCCCCATTCCACACCTTGTGGAGCATCTGGTCTCGCAAGCGATCTGCACGATAACTGCGCTCTCGGGGGTACTTGGACCACGCTTGTCGAAGCGCTAGGACTTGCACGTTGCGCTGACCGAGGGTGCTGGCGAGGTTGTCGATATACGCCTTGACAGCTTTACCCCTAATCCAGTGGCGACGCTCCCACAAGGCGAAACCAAGGTCGCCCCTCTCGGTGGAGTGGTAGGAGTACCCCTGGAACTGCCGCCATAGGCGAACGAGAAGAGCCCGACCAGTTGTACGACGGGATATAGCCACCGAGGATGGAAAACCCGTCGTATCGATCAAACAAGGCTCGTCTGGGAAAAGCTGGCGCATCACTTGGAAGGGTTGAGCAGGATGCGTCCACAAGCCAAACTCCACGATTCCATCCACTGAACTGGGGGCGACCAAGTCGTCCTCGAAGACGAGGGGGACACTGGCGTTTTGGATGAGATGCCAGCATTCCGACGCTCCGGGTGCCGTGAAACCCGGCTCCAAGAACAGGGTAGCAAGACCACTGAGCTTACGCGATCCAGGAGCTACGTCGGAAGCGTCAACCACTGCTGGGGCAATCGACGCAGGTCCAGCCCTCGGTGAAGCTGTCACCGTTGCTGTTACCATCACCCGAGCGTGAACAGAGGCCGACCGAATGTGGAGTCGACTCGGGAGTGGCACGGTGGCCGCTTGTGAAGCTACAGGAACCCCGGTCGCGGCAGCCAGAGGAGAAGGAGCCTCCGAAGGAGCGACAGGTTGCGCCACCGAGGTTTCCTCTCTTTCGTCGGGGACGAACATCTCCAGGAACAACGCTGCGCGGTCCTCGGAAGTCTCGGACTCATGAGGCGACTCACCGCTAGGTGAACGGTCTGGCGGGCCGCCAGAGCCCTCGGTGACCCCAGCAGCCGATTCTCGAGGGGCACGGCCAACGCCGGCTGTACCAGACGAGACTGGCGAAGGAATGGAAGTCGCCGCCGAAGGCGAAACCTCGGATGGAACCTCGATGACAGTACCGGAAGGCTCGGTAGCAGAACCTTGAACACCTTGAGCGCTGGCCGACACCCCCGGAATCTCGCCGGGCTCAAGGTCATCTTGTGAAGTGTCGCTAGGACTCATACCCCCTCCAAACTCCATGTCAGACGATTCCTGCTGCTGGGCTGGGGCTGGCGAGGGAGGCGAGGCGCGACTGGCCAGCCGAGGATACAAGGGGACGTCTGAGTGTTCGTACGGGAGACTCAGTGGAGACCGGGGAACCAGCAGAAGCGCCCACCGAAGCAGCGGGAGCGGACGTAGCCTCGGTGGACTCAGCCATCGGCACGTCGGTCGTCTTGGACTCCTCTCCCTCCTCTGACGAGGATTCGTCATGGCGTGGACTCTCGACAGTGACCGTCGGTGGGGACAGCCCGAGAAGATTCCAATCAATCTCTGCGGCGGAGATGCCGACTGAGGCCAGGACCAAGGTGTCGACGTCGAGTCCGTGTGCTGCCGAGTGCCGACGAAGGATAGAATTCGCTCGCCGCAAGCTGTTGTTCTCGTCCGTCAACGCTTGAATGCGTGCGGGGATGACGTTTGCTCGGTCGCGGTCGGCCAACTGCTTCCGAAGCCTCTCCAACTGAGTGTTGTAGGTAACGAGGCTTGCACTTATAAGTTCGTGGAGCTGGGTGTTCCGACGTACAGCAGCGGCCGAATCGACCTCAGCAACGAGCGTCCGCTTCTCCAACGACTGAGTTACGTCAGCGTGGTGAGCGATGGCCGCGTTCGCTTGCATCAACTGAGCGCTGGCATTGCTGAGCTGGACGCGCATGTCCTGGACGAGGTCCAGAGCTTGGTCGCACTCGGAGTTGGCCGAGACGAGGAAGTAGTCCGACTTGGTCCGCAGGTTCATCTCTTCAGCGAGTTTATCTTTGGCGTCGGAGAGCTCTGCCTGCAGCCGGTCGTTCTCGCGGCGGAGGGCCACCAGTTCATCAGCCTCCGCAAGAGGGAGACGCGAAGGAGCAACGGCAGCAGCCAGCACCTCACCGACGTTAGTAGCAGCTTGCAGGCTGTGGTCGAGAGCAGCGTTGACTCGAGCTGGAGGTAAACGGGCAACACCCACGACGAGACGAGCGAGTTCCAGCATCTGCTGCTCGCCCAAGACGACCGCTGTCGGAGGAAACTCGGCCGGGCCAGCACCAGCTCCGTCGCGACCCCCTACAGCTGCCTCGCCCCCCCCCCCCCCCCCACCGACGCCCCGCGAGTTGCCAACGTGACCGAAGGCGCGGGAGTTGGCGACGGTGGAGCGCTGGCGCTTGGCGGCGGTGTCGGCGGCGAGTCGGGAGCCTCTTCACTGAGAACTGCCGGCGAGGGAGTCTCGGTCGCCCCAGCAGCAGACTCAGGACTACTTGGAGGAGCCGGTGGAGGGTCGACCGAGGTCCCGGAGGCGGCAGGAATGAGGGTAGGGTCACCTGCAGGCGCGGCCGGGGCTGGGGGCACAGCACCAGCGGCGATAGGGGCGGGGGCACCCGCCGAACGAGCCTGGCGCGCCGGACGACGGCCCGAAGTGTCGGTGGCGATACCTGAGATGATCAAGAAAGAGATGGAGTCAACAACGAGATCCGAATGACAGTCAGGAGCAGCGGGAGCGACGAACGTACCGGTCCGGAGCACTGGAGAACCCGAAGAGCAGCGGCAGCCGCGTCGGCGAATGCACGCGACGGAGGAGCCATGGAGTCGAAGAACTGAGGACGCCTAGACGCTCACCAGCGTGGGAAGCTCGCGTCGAGGCGGGGGCAGTTGTGGTATTGGAAAGTAGCAGTTTCCAACGCTGTTGACCCGCCAGCCCGACAATCAGGTTCAATCAAGGGGCGATCAAGGCGAGGTCAAGCGAGAGACGGAGATGGCTGCTTCTGATTGGATGATGACATTATCCTCGGTAGAGTGACAGGCAGTGGCCAAAGCCTCGTCGGGTCCTAATAGAACCCCGAACGAGGCTTCATGGTACCCACTTTTAGGTACAGATGCATTTAGTTACGTACTTCGGCCGCACTTATTAGTGTAGCCGCGGTCGTCATTTGATGTGTCCGGAATCGCCTTACTGCGATCGTTCACACTAGATATTTTTATAGGGACATAGGACTCATCATAGGATGACCAGAACGAGGCCCCCAGGGCCTCAGAAAACTCAGTAGTAAAAAGACAGTCTTCCCCCAAAGCCAACAAGGGTCAAGTCCGACTTCGGTAAGTGTAGCTAGCTTATTGTAGTGCCTGGACACGCTCGGCTGCGTATGGATGCCTGTCGGGGAGCTTATCGTGCATTGACCGAGAGTTTCCTTGGCAGCGCCAAGAGTTGGCGTGGCCGGAGAGGCAGGAACGGTATTAGAGTATCGTTCGGTATAGATTAGAGTATCCCTGAGTGTATTAGTCTACCTACCGAGGTTTTACCTTGGTCCCCCTGTATAAGGCCTAACACGCCGGTACCCTTCCTTTCTGAGGGACTGCAGTGGGGTTGCGCGAAAGCGCTACATAGTATCCCAGCCTTAGCTCGTGGCTAGTGGTACAGGTTTTTGGGTTGACCGAAGACAACCTAGGGTGCACAGAGGCGCTTGCAACCGACCCGGTGAAGGGATCGTTCCTGGTCTTCAGGTTTTGATCCAATAAGCGCTTACCTTTGCGGGTTAGCGTGTTGTTGGTGTCTCTAATACATTTTGGTAGAGGAGGATTTTAGTGGAATTACCACACCACAAAACGTTTCCGCCAAAATGCGTTGCAGGCGAGGTTGGACCGCGAGTGCTGCTAGAATTTCACCACTGTGTTGTTGTTGCGCGGCACCCAGTGTCGTACGAGCGCGTTTGGCCGGAGGCGGTGCGCCATAACGGTTCTGTTGCTGCACTGGCTGACTTGGTGATTCAGCCGGAACGCTGTTCTCTTCTTCGAGAATGTCGTCGTCGTCATCCTGCGTGTCGAACGTGGCACTTACTGCAGTACGTGTCGAGTCATGACCGGGGGTAAGGAGCGAGATCCTGCGAACAGCTCTTGTAGTAGTGGCCGCCTGGTGAATATTAGTCGTTGGTGGCGGCGAGCAAAACGAGGAACCCACCGTCGCGGGAATTGGCACCACCCCGCCATCCTTGTAGAAAGCGTAATCGACGGCATGTTGAACGGGAAAAACGACTTCCTGTCCGGACTGCGGGTTGATCCACTTCACGATCTCGTTTGCAGATGGCGCCATGTCGTCGTCAACGATTTCATGCATTATTTGCTTGGCATCATTGGTGGCGCCGTTTGCACCCAGGACACGGTCTAAAATCTTCTGATGGGAATCGAATATTTTTGGCAGGCTCTAATCTGCTGCCGCAAATGACAATTGGCGGAGAAGAACGGCAGCAATCGGTGTTGTCCTGACGAGGCTTGCCCGGGCTACACGATGGCCCCCCTCTGCTGTGTTGACCAAAACTTCGTCGCCGTAGCACTCCGCTACTTGTCCATGGATGAAGTAGTTGTCGTTGGTTATCACCACTGGCGCGGGGATGAGTGGGGAGGAGTTCGACTCCACTTCTTCCTCCGATTCCGCCCAAGCTATGGTCTGCTCTGTTGCGATTTCCACTTGCGCTCGCGCTCGCTTCCTAGGCCGCACAGGGATACGCCGGACTCCATTCGCCGAGTGACCTTCGCGTACGTACAGCGGCTCATCGATAGCTTCGTCCAGAAGTTCCGGGAGCAACAGCACGTACTTGACAGCCTGAAGGGTCGCCGAAGGTGCCATCGGACAGAAGTCTTTAGAGCTTGTCGGGTAGAGCGCAAAATAGCGAATGCCCGCTTAGAATGGTCTGGTCTCCTAACTACCCACCTTAACTTGGTCGTTTGAAATTCCTTGACTGAACTGGAGGCGTGTGGTCGCAAGTTGCCAGTGAAAGCTTCTCTTCCGCATCTTCTCGCGGAAAACACACCATACTCTTTTCAAGCGTGCCAATGCAAGATATGAGTTCAGTCTAACATCTCTGTATATGTATGAGTCTATCCTTCATCTTTTTTGTTTCTCCTCGCCAGTCGCGCTTCATCGATCGATCAGCAAGACCCCTTCCTCGCGCGCGCACGCGAAAATGTGACGGTGCAGTACACTGCTTCGTACCGAAGATATCAATGGAGGGGGCAACAATATGACACTGTGAGAGTTGGTTTGCCGCTTATATCAAGTTATTCATGTATTTTTTCAACCTTTGATGCCTACCCTAGCCTGTTTGATCTCGAATCCAACACCTTAGTAAGCAAACCGAAAAGCAGTACTCGAAACCGTAAAATCGCAGTTTGAGTCTTCTGCTACGCCAAGAAAGCCGTTCGGTTCTTCGAAATACCCTGTATTAATATTTTCCTTAGACAGGTTATTCCGTCCGAGTATTTGACAGCGCGCTCACGCTCGGTCAACCATGCCTACCTCAGCAGGGGGCCTTGCGTGTTGTTTCTTCAGCTATTGCCACGGGAGTTCATCTCGCTCATGGCAAAAGTTGGTGCGGTTCGTGTAAGAACAACCGACCATCGGGCTGCTGCAAAATCACGTGGCGTATCTTGTCGGCGATCGACGATCTACGTAATATTACATGATAAGGATGAATATTGTGAAGGTGCCGACACATATGTTTTTCTACTTAACCACTGTATGGTGGCTATGGTCCAATCAACTGACTGTAAGCGATTGTTGTCAAATCAGGAGGCCGATGGATGCTATTTTATCCAATCGTCAAAGTTAGGGGTAGGTATATGAGCCGCCGACACTCTTGCCGACGTATTATTTCGGCAGGCCTGTCGAAATATGCTATCCACCTATAGTGTGGCTAAGTAATTAGGCGATTGCACGCATATTTTGCATGCTGCCGACACTTCACCTTGGGTTTGAATTGCTTCTATTTGTCTGCTTCACACGATTAGTAGCGGCGCTTCTGCCAGCTTCTCAAACTCAAATGAGTTTCCTGGGCGATGCCCTCTCATGAACTTACTACTGCATAATAACTTGACATGATCGGGTAGCCTGCAAGTACTCGTAAGTTTTCAACCGTGATCCTCGTACATGTAGGAGGCAGCACATAATAGGAGGCAGCGCATAGGTATTATAACACTTGATGAAATAAATAAATAAATGATATTTCTTGTCCTTGTTTCAGCATCTACAAACTCTACTCGCACACAGCTTCAGCTACCCTACAAGGGGCATCCCCGCCGCGGCACGCAGTAATCATCACATTGTCCTTCGCCGCAGCCTTTACTGCTGCCCTGGGCGCCACGAAAAGCACGAGCTCCTGGCGCTTGCTGGCCTTCTTCCTCGGCGCAGAACCGCAGCGTGCCTTGCGCATTTTGCGCCTTCGTCCCCGCTCGTCCTCCACCGCACTTACACCAACTTGCCCGGGGACGACTCCAGGCTTGATGACTCGGTCTCCGCCGCTGGAACGCCGCGCGCTCTCCACAAGCGCGCCCTCATCGCCCTCCAGCCACGACATCTCTCTCCATCTTCACTGCGCCCTCCTTCTCCTTGCCACACGAGGCAGCCCCTCCATGCCCTCTCCTCCACTGCTGCCCCTGCGGTGGCCACCGCGCTCCTCGCCACACCGCACGACCTCCTTCTCCACTATGACGCGCTCTACCTCCGCGTTCGACTCCTGCGCAATCCACCTATTAGCTTCATTGCGCCCTGCCTCGTTCTCTCCGCCTCCTCCTCCTCTCCTCATCCTCCTCCTCCTCAACCACAGCTGCCGCCCGTCCGTCGTGCACTTCGTGTCTATGTCCTTCGCGCTTTGTTCTCCCCGCCGTCCTCCACGCACTTGCACTTGGTCTTCTCGCCGTCCTCCGCACACTTGGTGCCTCTGCTGCCCTCCGGGCCCTTGGTCAGCCCTTCGTCCTTCGTGTCGTCGGCCTCCACGCCGTCCATCGCGTCCTAGCCCCCGTTCTTCATGCTCTTGGTGCCCCCGCCCTGTGACTGCTGCCCAACTCGCTTCCTGCTGTGTGTGGTTCCGAGAGCACAGGCTGAGCAAGATAAAGTGCCCTCCGCTTGGTGGTGAGGAGAGAGGTCTTGTAGGGGGCAGGTTGCTGGAGGCGACGCGCTGTCTTGGAGCCCTGTTTGCGCCTGTGCACACCTGCATGCCACGCACGTGAGGTCTGGAGGGGAGGGGCGTAGCGCAGGTCACGGCGCTGCGAACTCGATCAGGGGCGCCGCCACCATGACTGTGACGGCCAGAGAAATGAAAATGCAAGAAGTGTAAAGATGGTCATTTAGACCAATCGTAGAAATTCAGTATTTCAACCAATACTCGATCGTGTCGGCAGGTGTAGGCGGCTGTCGGCACCGTGACGCTATGGATGAATATAGTGGTCCTTCCGACAGAGAGACTGGCAGGATTGTGACTGGGCCCAATCAGTTCGCGTTTTGACCAATCACGGAGCTTCAATAGTGTAGTTTTGGCAAATAGGAGATAATAGGGGTAGGTTTCCGGTTCCGACACTTTCCGACAAATGTTTGTCGGAATCCACACAGTAATATGAATATGTACATACAAATATCAAGTAGTTAACATATTTTTTAAATATTGTCATGGCTCTGACAACTAGGTTTATTCCTAAGGTAGGAAACTGGTCAGTGGATAGGATAACCAGTACGTAGGCTTTGCGTTTGACCACACAATTAAAAGAACCAAGCAGTAGCAGACGAAGCAGCATGAGCTTAGCTGCCTTCGTTCCTACGAACACGCAGAAGGCGCGGAATACTGCCGTCGCCGCATTCAAGCGGATGTTGGAGGAGGAGAAGGTTAGCCTTGAGTTTGTCGAGGCTAGCATTCTCTTGGATACCTCCGGCAAACGTTTAGCGGCGACGATGGACTGCTTTGGCTTCTACCTCGCAACCAACGAAGGTAAGAAAGGTAAGTTAGCCCGCAACACGGCAACAGCGTATCATAGAAATGTCAAGTTGTGGCTATTTGACAAGTATCCACACTTGCGAGTACCAACTGAGTTGATCTTGCTAAAGCAAGGGAAGACTTTAGATAAACATTGCATGAAACGCGAAAAAGGTGGCTTGATTAATAAGGCTCCACCTTGTACTAAGGAGGATTTACAGTCTTTAGTCCGTTACGTGTACAGCACAGCACGCGTGCACGCCGACTGTCAAAACGCAGCACTAGCGTGCTTGATGTGGCACTGCTTTGGCCGGTCGTCGGACCTAGGCTACATCCAAAAACAGCACGTGTCTGTATCGGCCGACGGTACCTTCTACCTGCGGCTGCTACGTGTCAAGACATCAGAATAACAGGGTCTTACCTTGATCCCGGACAAGAGCGACTTCTTGACGTGTCCCTTGCACGCTCTGGCCGTAGCGCTAGCGACGCAGGACGCGCCATGCGCGGCACTCCTGTCCCAGTTGCCCGATCTCGTAGCGGAGGTCGCCGTGCCACTTGACGAAGGTGTGCCGCTGCTGGAGCTGCTGGAAGCCGAGCGGCACACCGCTGCTGGAGCTGCTGGAAGCCGAGCCCGCTTCGCTCGACGTCGCTGTGGTCCCGACGGAGTCGTCCCTGCCTTCAATGCTCGCGGCCGGCAACGTATCCTCTGTTCCACCGCCGCAAACCTGCCCGGACCCACAAGAAACATCAACACCAACCCCAACCGAGGCACGCACCGGTGAGGTCAAGCGCGGCGAAGACAGTGTGCAGGCGTACGTGAACAGGATGCTCAAGCTCGTCGCCGAGCCGGCAGGAGCCGCCCCTGACCTGACCTCGCACTCCTTCCGGCGTGGCGGGGCCCAGTATGAGAACGGAGATGACCGCCTCGCCGCGCAGTGGATCTTCGATCGCGGTGCATGGGATATGACCAAGACGAACAGGGATTTCGCCTACATCACTAACACGGCACGCGAGGACAGGAAGGTAGCCCGGGTCTGAAGTGGGTGGGCGGCAGACGACGTTCCAGCGGTCATCGACGTCGCGACGCTTGATCACGCCAGTCAAGAACGCCTCGGCCGATTGCAGGGCTTCCTGTTCAATTCCTGTACAGGTCTCAAGTAACAACGTCTAAATGTAAGCACCAAGGTCCTCAGTGTCCTCACTGCGTACCTGGTCCGTTACTACCCGCAGCTCAAGGAGCTCTCACCCGCGGCCCCCATTGTCACGCGCGTGGAAGGGACCTTGCGTGCTGCAGCCATCCCGATTGGCGACATGCTTGCGTGGTCAGTCGCGCTGGACAGCGAAGCCGCTCCGCCTGCTCAAGAACAAACCCAAACACAAGATGCAAGCCAACACCACTGTCCAAGCATCGATCACCTTCTAGCCGTCATTCATGAGCTTATCGCCTCAAGCAAGGCCCTAGCTGCGCGGTTGACGATTGTCGAGGCGGCTCAGATGAAAGCTAATGAGCCGTGTAGACCCGCTGAAGAAGACCAAGCAAAGGAATCGTTAGACCAAGAGCCCAAGCCAAAACGGAGGAAGAAGCAAGTACGCACCTGTCGGCTGCATGGTACGAGTGGTACACCCGTGTTCCTCGCGTCTGGGACAGCTCTGACCGCCAAAAGAAGTCCGAATCACGCCACGTCGTCGCCTTCATGAAGCTGTTCCTCGAAGACGGCTTTACGCTTGACCCCACGGTTGCAGACTACAAGGATCAGGTCTTGGACGCCGGCCGCCGTGCTGAAGATGCCGTGTTGGGCTTCGTAAAGTCGCGGAACATCATCGCGAAGGGCGCTGGCAGTGTTTTGCGCGCGCTGCGTCCCCTGCACAAGTGCGGCGTCTTGGACAAACGCATCGCAGCCCACAAGCGTCTCCTCGCTACAGGCCGAATTCAAGACCCTGCTCCTGCAGACACACAGGACATATTAGCTTTGGCTCGTCAAGCCTGACCGGCATAGTATCGAGAATTCCCGAAGTCGCAAACCGCCGAGCGTACACAGTCGAGTAAACCCGAAATCACGCACCGTCGAGAATACCCAAAATCGCCCACAGTCGAGTAAACCCGAAACTGCTGTTAATGGGAGTAAGCGACACTCGCGAGCCACCGATGAGCGGCAGCTGTCAAAAAGTAGAATGACTAAATAGCATGCTTCTCAACCAATCATTTATGGGTCGTAATTAGTATAGTATGCATTCTGACCAATAGGATTTAAGAAATTTCATCGAATGAAATGTAAGGTACATGTCGAGTTTGTCCGAAACGCGACACTTCGATTCTTGCCAAGATGTCGAGCTCAGATCAGCGGACGAATGCGGAGAAGATCGAGTGCTGTGAATCACAACTTGTGAAGCCTCAAGCGGGGAGAGGGGAATGTTGCTCCCCACTTCGCCGAAATCGCACGATCGACTTGTATAGACAGCAATACATGTAGTGTTGACGATAAGTTCCCAAACGCAATCCAAACACGGCGTTCGTGTTTGCCTGACGAAGCTTCACTGGAAACAGGTGCGCCGCCTGCTGTCGGTGGTCGCGCCAGACTTGGCTGGGAACTGTGCAATGCTCGGGAAATTCGTGCCAGCGAGCATATGACAAACTAATAAGTGCCGATTAATGCGCTCGTCGCATCGCTGCTGCGCGATAGACGCGGTTTCACGATCTTGAGCTCGACCCGCTGGAACGCATCCTGACCGTATCGTAGACATTTGGATTGAAAGCCACAGCTGGCGATGGTCGAGCTTCGCAGTCTCGCAGCGAAAACGGCTCTTCCATTGGGAAGCGAAGTAGTCGAATGCCATGCCTGAACATGGCCGAAGATCGATCACTTCTGCATTTGCCGTCTCGCACTCAAGTCTCCAACCACTCGAGCACCAGACGAACGAACCATGGTTACGATCTCCGGCACCAGTCGCGCGATCTTCGCTCTGTGCTCCCTCATCGCCGCCCAGGGCGGCTTTGCTTCGGCGTTTGCAACCGCGGGCGAAATCGGCGCGTGCCTCGACAAGGCCGGCATTCAGAACTCGGTGCCCACGACGTCGACCTGGAAGGCCGACACGGAGGCGTGGAACTCGCGTGTGAGCCCCGTGCCGTCGGCCGTTGCCTTCCCCAAGAACGAGGAGGAGGTGTCGGCCGCGCTCAAGTGCGCTGCTGATGGTGGTGTGAAGGTGACGACGCTGGGCGGCAACCGCTCGTTCTCGAGCATGGGCTTCGGCCGCAACGACGGTGCTCTCATCATGAACCTCAAGCACCTCAAGCACCTCGAGTACGACGCGTCCACTGGCCTGCTGTCGTACGGCGGCCCCGTCATGATCTCAGAGGCCGCCAACTACATGTGGAGCAAGGCCAAGCGCACGCTCCCGCACGGCCGTTGCCCCGACGTCGGCATGACCGGTGTGGCCGCCTCGGGTTTCGGCACCCTCTCGCGCGCCAGCGGCACGGTGCTGGACAACATCGAGTCTGTGCGCGTGGCGCTCGCCAACGGCTCCATTGTGGACGCCGATGCCAAGCAGAACTCGGACCTGTTCTGGGGCGTGCGCGGTGCCGCCAGCTCCCTGGGCGTGGTGCTGGACTTCAAGATCAAGACGTTCGACCCTCCGTCGCAGCGTGTGACGAACTACACGATCGAGTTCAACTCGAGCGCCAAGCCGACGCAGCAGGACAACGTCGACGCGCTCGTTGGCACGCAGACGTGGGCTCTGAGCAAGGACAACAGCGACCTGCTGTCCATCCGCTTCGGCCTCAACGTGAAGTCGAAGCTGCAGGGCTTCTTCTACGGCTCGGGCGCGGAAGCCAAGACGGTG